TTTCTCGTGTCTTTAAATGGCTATTCGATATCTATGCTTTCCCTGTCGCTTCTTCTTCGCTTTACCTAATAGGTTCTTCTATTTTCCTGCCGCAAAGTAGAAATGCAGTCTCAAAGCCGCGCGAGAAGTTTTCATCTCTTCACTTAGGATTTTCACGATGCGGTTCCCCTTTCCTCAGGCTGCTCATATTTTGCGATGGGATCGGCTGAGAACGCGTCCATACTTCGCGATCCGATCGCTCAGACCTCCTGCCACCCGATTGACTTTTCGGGATAATTAGTACGGAAGGAAAGTGGAGGTATCGACTTGGCATTTTCTTTTTCACCTTTTTCTACCCCTCTCTCCCCCCCCCCCCCAGAACGAGCGACCGGGTACAGGTATCAAGGTGATTGGCTACGCCTTCTGCGTTTCATAAGAGACACGATTTTCCTTATCAGTGCTTGATTCCTGTAGTGGTTTGACGATTATTCTCTGAAAAAAAAACTCTGAAATACTGCTTGCAGTTTGCCAACCCAGTTGGAGAATCCATGAGAAGCAATTGGCAATTGTCTGTCGATAAAATCGCTGGTAACGCTGGTTATCCACAGATTCTCGATTTTTCTGTTCTCCCTAGCAATACGTCTGTTCTCTTTCCACTCTCCCCTCTATGTGGTCGCATGCAAACAATTCCTAACTGTGGTCTTGTTAACTGCTGTTTCTCGCTTTGCGAACGTTATCGCTGGTTGCCTATATCCACCGCCCTGGTGATAATGATTGCGTCGCAGTCTGAAACGAAATGCAGCAGTTAACAGGACAAAAAAATGCTCAAATCAACCAGCTTCTTTTCTTAACAATTTACTGCCAACATTGACGAATCAATTCTTTAAACATGCCTATAAAGGTGTTGATGCTGCGTTCATACTTTGCGATTTGGGAGAATGGAGAAATGCGACATGGGACAGCACTATATCGATCTGACGAACCCGGAGAATAGGATAATCGGCGAGTGCGCGAAGGCACAAAAGGAATAGATGGTACTTCATTTGTTGTCAACCCAACAAATACTTTCGTTGTGTCTTCAGCGAAACTATCGCAAGTTCGGGTCGTGGTTAAGTAAATCGGGAAACCGGAGCATATAGAACGCTAGGCAAGGAATGTGTGCATGTCATTCCAATGTTCTGGGGGAATGAAAGAATCGAAGGACGGCGAAATCGACCTACAGAAGTCGCTCGATATCTATCCATTCCTTTGGTGCACATTCTAATGAAACGTCGTTCCGCGATTCTCTTAAATTCATATTTCATGGCCGATAATTTGGTACTCGGTCTAAAATGCCAGCAAGGTGCTCCATAGTGGGGAAAATTAAAACAACGAAGTGAAACGATCAAAAACTTGCGAAGAAAAGCCTTCATTTTTAAAGACGCAAAAAGCACTTCGGACTTTCCCGTAGGCTTCTTGCCAACCACCGTTACGGTAGGTACGGCTGCATGCATGTACTCATATATACTCCAGTCGCTAGCGAGTCTGCAGAATAATATAACGTTGTCTACATTCTCTTGCTCTCTCTCAGCTCGCTAGCGAGCGGATCGGTCGATGCCCATCTACTCCCATCCCATTTGTCCCGCATCCACTCTTCTCCTATTCTTCCGAGCCGCAAAGCAGCAGAGTGGTCAAGATACAGCACACGTAGCATCCTTATTACGATACCTGACTTTGTCTGCAAGGCTTGTATTGCCTCCCACAGTCCCTGCGCGAACGCAGTTCATAGGCGTCCTTCCTTTACGAGTAGTATGGTCCTTATTCCCTAAGATTATCCCATTTTCGCGGCTTCACAGTGAATATTGAAAGCGGTGCGATGTTCATAAGTGGCAGTTCTGACCTCTCTAATTGCCCCTCTCCCCGCCAAAGCTCGAATGCTATTTTCTGACCAACTTTCAGTTTTTACACCGTGTTTTTCGTTTTTTTTTTCAAACTGTTGGATGCTATAAGCATTGGATGACGCGAAGGAACGGGCAGAGGCGGCAGGATATCTCTTTGCTGGCACAAAACGAAGAGGTCCAGAGAGCTCGTCCAGAAAGGCTATCAGGAAGCCCTCAGCGTGTTCCGCGGCTTTTTTTGCTTTTTTGTTCCCTGAAAGTCACCTAGCGATTAGAGGTCTATAGCTGAACGCCGCTATCCGAATATCAGTCGCGAGGTCTTTTTGAAACCCATTCTAGATGGGGTGTGATTTTCATGTGTGTGACTAGATATAACCGGTTTGATGTTTTTTTTCTGCTTACTGTAATGGGACACGTACTAGTGTATAAGTTATTTGTTGTTTCAGAAATGATCAAGAAATAGTGATATTTACATTTTCAAATCCATGTTGTACGGTTCGAGCTTTCTCAGCTGAGACTCGTCGTTCAAAGTTGGAAGGTCGGGGTGTCTCAAAAGTCTGTCATGTTTTTTGTACAGCGCGGCTTGTTCTATGGTTCGCTCTGAAACTCTGAAGCATCTGAAACTCTGCGTGCTACATGGTCCACCTTTCACTGACAGTCGGGATTTGATTGACTAGTTATGTTTTGGTGATCCAAAAACTTCAAACCGCCGGAAACGTTCATGCCTTTACCACTCCACGTCTTGTCCTATTCATTGTTTCAGATGGAAATAGATAACGGCCAATGTTCATCCTCTGATGATGAATGTGAAGAACAGAGGATAGAAGTTTCTCATCGGCACTCAGCGTTAGTGTCTTTCATTACAAATTACGGCACTTTTTACCCATTTCAAGTTCATGTTGGAATTTCGATTGTCTGGAAACCGACCGCCAGAGGTCATTGGACTTCCTAAACACGGAGATCACGTCCGCTTAGAACTGAAGCGCACCCACGCTCAGCCCGAAACCGCCACAAGGGCAGGCGCTCAAAAACTCTAAATCGCTAAATTCGCTGAAAACTTGTCTCCGAGGATAGTTCGACCCCTGAACACGAATATCTCATTTGCTTGACTCGGAAGCACCTAACATATGCTCTACAAGCGACGACACCACATGCATGTTTCAACTCCGGCGCCAGTCGGATTCGTGCCTAGCGATGTGCTAGTGAAGTTGGGAATAAAGGGCAGCACACCTTCTGGCTACCACTGAATGTGATCCCTTTACCAAGGTTCAGCCTTAGAAGGGAGAGATCACTATCGGGAAGGGGCAGACGAGAAACAGGCGGTGCTATCACGTGTACTTCCTTTACCTTTCCCTTGATTTTCTCGGCACCGCATACAGATGTGGTCATCGTGTTGAGGAAGTCATACTACACCTAGGGACAACTTTTCAGTCAAGTTGGCGAGCCAGGGTGTTTTGGAGGCGGTGCCTGGGCGAAGGCGCCAAGTTTTGGGTTGAGCGATATGATATTCGTGTTGAGGAGGTTAAATTACGCCTGAAGACACATTTTCACCGTATTCGGTATCTATTATTTTGGTGCGGGTGCAATACCTCTGGTGGCAGGTTTAGCCAAATTACCCCTGGAAAAAAAGCTGTTGTAAAAAACTGACCTGATTTCCAGTGACTGGGTCAGTAATAGGTAAATAGTGCCTAAACTTTATTTGTTTTGTGGGTCTATTGATGGCGGGAGCCAGTGCGGTCTTCTCTATATCCATAAAGCCAATTTCAGTGTAGTTGAACTGGATCTTGATACGGAAGATATCGCGCAGAAAGTACTTCGTGTTTTGAGTGTTGACAAGGAGCCGAGTCGTAGTAATGCCGTGCGAAAATTTTCAGTAGAAGGATGCAAATTACAAATGTTAGTTTTTGATGACTTCACTCGTTTCATTATGAATATTTAAATGTTACTTTACTAAACGAACACATGTGTTCCACAGCCCAATCCCTGGAAATCTTCTCAGAAACTAGTAATGCAACAGTTGCTTTCAGAAGGATTGCTGCCATGGATAGAAAGTCACTACAAAGATCGTTGGCTAACTTGCTTGATATGTGCGATCTTGCTAAATCTGTGATAGATTTGACAGCGCAGAAAAAATGGATCACAGTCAGAGAGCCTGCGCAGAAGAAGTTGAAAAATTGCTCAGATTGATATTCTTGCTTTATCCTTGCATTTCTCTACGTTTAATGGTTTCCTTTTTGAGTTGTGGATGTTGTGCTTCATTTCTCTCTATCGAAGTTCTATCGTATAAACTTTCGTATTTCTTATTCTGTATAAACTTTCGTATTTCTTATTCTGAAGTGATTCTTTTGATACCGTTCTGTATCGGTCGCACCCCTTCTTCGGAAATCATCCGTGTTCTTTCTATGCATTATTGTCATTTTTCCTTTTTTTAACTACCCCAGTGTTCATAAGGCTGAATCGAAAATTGAGGTATGTAGGCGTAAGAATAATTCCATTAGCGTTCTATTGGCATCAGTTGTAGAACACTGTATTCCTTATACAAGTGTGAACATATAAGAGGCACTGCTGTAAGAAAGTCTCGCATTCATTTGCTCCGAGTTAATGATTGTAAAGGGAGGTTTTCTAGAGTGATGCTGGCAGTGAAGGTGGGTCCAGCATAACGCGACGGTTTTTTTAATTTACTCGTCAGAAGGTTTCTTTCGATCTAGATCTTACCAAGTTTGCAGTATGTCCTCAAATTAACATGTGGGCAATTACTCTTTTTTGTAGTTTTTTTTATGTTTAATAATAGTGTATAATAATAACGTAATAATATGTTGCTGACTGCAGTGGCATCGCGGCGCAGAGGAAAGAGTAGAGCCCGTAGAGGAGGGAATTTACTGGGGTTTGGGATTCTCATACACTCAGAGACGACTCTTCAGTCTCCACTCATAAGTACTGAGAGGTATACCTTTTTATTTGTTGCAATAATTACTGTCTGCTTATTTCCAGATAACAATTTGATAACATCCAAACAAGGCACACTCTTGATGTGATCCTTTTGTGTTGAATAAAAGGTTTTTTCAACAACCTACTGAAGCAGTCGTCTACTCCGCCAGGATATCGCCTTGTTATTACTTCTAATAGTACCACGCAGCGCCCCCCTTTTTTCCTCATATTACTATTTTTTTCGAACGAATCTGTGCTTATTCATTGTTAGGTGACTGCTGCAAAGAATACTGCATCGCCGGCCACACCCTGCTGATTACCCCTCCATACCAGCTACACGAGCAGCAACATGTGCGCCTGCTGTCAATGCTACGAGAAAATTGAAAGTATATTATATGCAGGGCATAATTATTCTACAGATATTTGGCAACTTGATGTCTTTGAACGAAAGAAAGTTCGCGCTAGGGATTACTTGTGGGCGCGACATCGTTAGAAGTCGTTATAACGATATATCCTTTACATCAACTGAATATTTTTGGCTACCAGAAGTTGAACAGTCGTCCGGCCGTTTGCCGATAACTAATGTTATCGATGTACGCATTCTTGAGACGTTGAAGCTCAAAATCTCTCTTTATACTAGTTGGCGAAAATCGCGGTTGCCATGGAAAGGAAGCATAGGGAGGTTCTTTTGTTGGGTTTTCATATTATGACACGAATGGAAGCGTCTTTACATCAGGAGAAGCAATAAGTATTCGAGGCATAGAGTGAACCGGTGTGAGCAGTTTCATAGCCAATGTCATGGAGATATTCCACGTGTAATCATCGATTTTCGTTTTTTTTTTTGGGTAACATGGTGACAAAACTTCTAAAGTCGATGTCTGCCATTAGTTGGCTGTAAGAGAAGTTGCGATTAATTTTCCCCAAAAGTTAAAAAGCCCAGAAGGGGGGCTTGTGAATTCCTTCATCATAACATATGTCACAAGGGTTTTCGCACTAAATTAGTGTAATATTCATGTTCAGCGGAGCCAGTCCCATGAGAATAGGGCAAGAAACTAGCAGAAACTGCGATTTTGACCAAACTCTGAAAAAGTATTGTATTCTGTGGATGAAAAAAGACCGCATGGACCTCACTCACTATCGATGTCTGTTCTTAGCATGGAATTTCCTCCTGGTAATCAGGAAAGTGATGCAGATGATGCGAACACGTGCGCCAGATGCTGCTCTTCGCGAAAAGTCATGACTGAAGATTTGATTCACCTCAAAGATCAGTCATCTGTGATAGGCTGGACCTATTGTCGCTGGCGGCTGCTATACAGCCATGGCCAACCCAAATCAACTTTTTCGAAGTCGAGCCAGAATCTCACATTCCGGAACGGAATTCCGCGATCCTGGCATGGCGCTGCACAGCGCCTATTCCGAGGAACGTACTCCTTGTAAGGCCCCATTAGGCTACAACCGAATGCCCACCGCGCCCGCCCGCCCACAAATGGACGACCGTACCTGATGCTCGTATTGCTTCATTTGCGAAGTAAAATATGAAGCGAAGGGATTGATATGAAGCGGCCGCGGTGCTGCATGGATATATGAGTACATACGTGCAGCCGTACCTCTACCGTAGCGGTTATTGGCAAGATGCCTACGGGAAACTCGTCCGAAATTGCTTTTTGAGTCATGAAGAACGAAGGCTTTTCTTCGCAGGTTTTTGACCGTTTCACTTCGTTTTTTCGCCATTTTCCCCACTATATAGCGCCCTGCTAGCATTTTAGGCCAAGCACCAAATTGTCGTGCCAACTGCCTTTAAGTAAAAACGGTGAGGAAAACCTCCATAATACCGTTTAGAGAGCCGTTTAGCATATTTTGAAGGCAGAATTAAATTCACCGTCTCATTACGCGTGCAGCGGTGTCACCTCATTGGAGAAATGGCCAGACTGACCTGTTAATCTTTTCTGGCTAGCTTTTCTGTAGCAGAATGTTCTTGTTACATGCCTTCTGTTTTTGAACTGGTATTGATTTCATCGCATGATCAACACCTCACACTTTTTTTATTTCATTGCGGGTGGAATTATCAAGCTCAATTATACTCATTGCGGGGAATCTGAATGTTCTACAAGAGGGTGAAAATTTCAGTTCTCTTTCTACCTTGTTCCAATCCGTTCCTGGCTTAGCTGGTACAACGTTGGATGCTGCAGATTCTGATAGCGAAACCATTGATGAGTACGGCTCCGGTGTTATCCGTTCCGCTTCTAAAGATCAGGTAATCTGCAATAATCCTCTTGTATGCGTCTCCAAAACCTGTCGCACTTTTGCAGATCTCCAGTGTACTTTCAAGATTGCAAGGTCGCGCTTCAACGTACAAGGATAAATATAGAGATTTGGTAAAGAAGTACAATGAGGTTGTAACAGAGAACAATAAATGCAGGGTTCGTTCATTACGAAACTTTTATGTTCCATTGTTACGACGAGCGAAAAACTTTCTAGACAGTCCTGGCCCAGACGCAGGACAAAGCTCTCGATCGGATCGGAAAATTAAAAAGCGAAAAGAAGGCTCTTGGAGAGAAACTGCGGGAACTGGAGGAAAGTCGGGCCAGCTCCTCTCCGGTCAGCATTTATTTGACGCTTGGCTTTCTTTTACAGAAAGTTTGTGAAAGAATTCTGTTGCAGGCTGAACAAAAGCATCATCGCCTCGAGGAAATGCTGGAGAAATGCAAAGCAGAGATCACTAAGAATCGTGCAAAAATAAAAGAACTAACCCAGGAAAATGAAAGGCTGTCGCAGAGTGTTAAAGCAGCTGAAGGCGATGTGAGGACTCTTTGATTTGTTGTAGCCCCCATGGGCCCGGTATTTCGCTTCAGCATTAAAACCTCTCATGTTCTGCAAATACAGCACCTACACCCCTTATCCCTGAGACGGAGTAGGCGTGGCATTTGACATGGCATAGGATGGGTTACTCGTGGGATATTTCAATTTGAGACAACTGCCATCTTGTTCTGTGTGGGACGAAGACATGATTGCAACTGTCCCAAAACAATATAATTCACGAAAACCTTGGCCATCGCCACGTCAAATCCAAGAACGCAGCTCCGCCTATCCCATCTCAGGGATTTCAAGTATAGTTTTAACAATACAACTTGCTCTGCTTCAGTCAGATATC